ACTGAATGGCTTTGAGATTTAAATTTAATGAAATGCTAAAATATTCATGCCAAGATTTTCCTAGTCCATAATCTATTTTCTGTCTAATTTGATACTAAACATTCTGTAAGAGGAGACATCACCATTATTTGGAATATAGATGTATATTCCCAGGCTCATTATTGGCAACATCTGTAGTTATGTTAGCATCCCAAGAGATGGTAGAAGCAGTCAACTCTTCATTAATGGCTACCACAGAAATCATGGATTCTACGTCACAGGTTTATTTTTTCTAAGTTAGATTAATTGTAGACATTCTTTGTACACCGTCCACATCTAGGAGCCTCAGCTGGTAGGCAGAGCATGGCTTTTTCACAGAGAGAATTTTGCTTCTGAGGATCATCCTGTGGACTACAGGACCTTAACTTCAAGTGTTATTCGCAGTGTTCTCTACATCAATATGACAGAGAAAGGAAATCATAACCTAAACTATGTTAAAAGCAATCCCTCTCTACTCAAGACTTTTGCTTGCAGATAGCTCAAGTACTCCAGTTTATAAATTTATGAAATTGATTTCTACATTACAAATTTTCTTTTTGGATTTCTATCCACACAGGTGTGAGAGAACATTTTGTCAAAATGTTGAAAGTAAAATAATGTTGAAAGTAAAATAAACTTGCCTTTAAAAAATTAGTTCACTATTTTTATTGGGTGTTTGTGACTACTGCTAATTAAACAAATATACTTCAATCAAATGTAGTCATGGAATTTTGCCCTACTTTAATATTATCACAAAGAAAGCACTTTTGTAAGGAGAGTTTCAGAAGTGACAATTTCAGAACGTTTTAGATAGGTTGCCTAGATACCACACAATTTAGGTTATGATATTTAAATATACTTGGGTTCTTTAGAGTTAAATGGATAATATGAGTATGATGCGAAAAACTCAGAGATAATTTTGCAAATATTCCCAGTAACTGATAAAATATTCACTTTTTATTAACAATCACTGATACCAGCCAACATGCTATCTTTTAACATTTATGGTTGTCTCCATTAGAGATTGCTGAGAAACAAACTATCCCCAAACACTTTTTATTTAGCTCAGGATTCTGTGGGTAGGCTGAGCTGGGCTGGTTAGTTCTTCTGGGCTCAAATGGACTTCTTCTGGGCTCAGGTGAGTCTGTGGTTCCTGTTCTTTGTCACTGAATTTTCCCATATTCCTGCCTGAGTTGGGCAACTGGGCTCACTCGGCTCTGCTCTACATGGTCTCATCCTGAAGAACAGCTCTGACTTAGTCATATGGCGCAGGCACAATCCCAAGAGAAAGAGTGTGAGCCAAGACCTTCAGAGTATAAAGTTCAACACTGGCACATTTTCCCTTCCACAGCCGTCTACTAGCCAAAAGAAGGTAAGGCCAATTTAACAGCTTTTTCACCTCTTGATGGGGGGAGCTGCAAAGTCTCATTGAAAATAGAGTGGATACAGCAAAAAAAAAAAAAAAAAAAAAAAAAAGAGGAATTGTGGCCATTTTTTTTAAATTTAAAATGTCTTTATTCATTTATATGGTATATACTGTGCCTTACTAAAAAAACAGTAACATTTGTCTTTCTATCTGTCAAGCTTAACTAGGATATTCATGTGTCTTTTTCTTTCAGAGTATGTGTTGACGTGATATAGGAAGCAATATGCAAGAATCAGTTCAACAGGCATTATTAAATAATTTCACACAGAGGAATAATTTTGGATAAATGGTTAAAATTATAGATGACTCTTAGATGTGGGCACATAGATATTCTGTATACACCAATAAATTTAACAAAAGATGTGTTTGAACTGATGTCTAGCAACGAACTTGCTTCTGTGAATCTTCAAATACCCAATGCCAAATCTTACAGATCTAGAGAAGGGTTTTCTCTTTTTGAATTTTCTCCAACTGATTTTTTTCTAGCTGTTTTCTAGTAGCTGTTTGTTCTTTCAGTGATTCAATTGTTTTCAGTTTCTTATTCATGTTCTTGTTTTTTTGTCTGTTTGTTTTGTCTTTTTCAGGGTCTTATGGTCAATTTTCTATCTGCCACAATGCCTCTGAGATATTTAAGTGGAACCTAACCAAAAATACAAAGATGCAAGGAAAATAAGACCTGCAACACTGAAAGGAAAAGAAATCAACAGAGACAAGAGGGAGGGGGGGCGGGGAAAAGGAAGGGAAGGGGAAAGTCAAGGAACATATAGCAAGGACTCATGGACAAAACCAAAGGGGAAGAGCTGAGGGAGGGAAGGTGGGAGGGGGCAAGGGGAAGTGGTGGGGGGTAGGCAGAGACAAATGTATTTGAAAAAATAAATTTTAAAAAATATTATAATAAATAAATAAATAAATAAATAAAGAGATATTTAAATATGGCTTCTATTATAAAGCTTCAGGACAGCTAAATCTTGACTTAGCCTATATTTAATGTCATTTCTAATTTCTAGAGCTCTTAGCTTTCTCCATTTATATGTAGGCATTTGAATTGCATTCCAGCACCTGGAGAGCAAAACCTGTTCTGTGTTTGCCATCTTTCTCAGTCCTACAGTGCCAAGCTTTGCACATAGCAGCTTCCAACTAAAGAAAAAAATATGTCCTATTACTTTATTAGTATAACTTCATCATATTACATCTCAATGTTGCAGATATTTTTCATCTCTAAAATGTGAAGAATTTTAGTGTAATTAAATAACATGTTAAAAGTTAATAATTTGAGACAAAATATTCTAAAGATATAATTTATTGTTCTGAAGATAAATTCCAAAACAATCTGTCATGCCTTACCAATATACCTAGCTTACTAAATTATCATAAGCAGTAGATATATAATCAAAATAGAAGTTCACAGTGCTGACTTAAAATCATTCAGAAAAAGCTTACAAAATACACATGCAAGTTTAACACTTTTTTCTTAATATTATATTCTCAAGTTCAAGTTTAGTCAAAGTGAGATTTGGGAAATGACTATTGTTGAGCAGAAATGAAATGCAGGGTATCATTGGCGGCATGTGGTAAATTCTAGGGAAGCAGATATACAAATTTTATTTAATCTTAGTTCATTTTCTAATTATTTGAAGTATACTGCACTTGCTTTCCTGTATGGCTATCTTGAGGAACATCTGTTTTTCCTCAATTTTTCTTATAATTCCTCCTTCTCCCAAGTCACTTAGAACAACGTTTTACAGATAAGAGACTCTCTAAACATCCATTATGTTGATCATATACAGAAGAATAGGAAATAAACAGGGAGATCAACCTCTAATTTGTGAATACCCTAAGAATGATGGGCACAAAATAGTGACTCCTTTAAACAAAACTAAAGGAGAATGAAGAAATTTGGTGCATTTATCTCTTCAGGTATTTACTGAAGTTTGGCCTCTTTTATAATGACATTTTAATTGTGCCATATTTCTTCACTAATGCTTTGGTGATAACTAAAAAAGGGTCTGTGAAATTAATCCAAGCCAAACCAAAGCAAGCATCACAGAGAATGATATACAAGGTATGTCCAGAAAGTATCCAGCCATGTAGAGGCACTCTAGAGGCATCTATTGAAGAAGATACAAGAAACATTGTACATAGGACAATGATGCCTCTGTCCCCTTCAAAGTAGGCACCTTGGGATCTAATCGCCATCAGCTGCCCCACTGTTATTTTCCTGAATCTTATCAATGATCTGAAATCTATTCCTTTTCAAAGGTGATTTTAATCTTGGGAAAAGCCAGAAGTTGCAGGGTGCCAAACCTGGGCTGTAGGGAGGCTGAGTCACTTGGGTGATTTGATGTTTCACCAAAAAGCTCTGCACTAGACATGATGCATGAGCAGGCAGGTCGTTGTGATGTAGCTGCACTCACCAGTGGCCCATAGCTGTGACCTTCTGAATCATCCGAATAGATTCCAGGGAGGAATGTTGAAGCTTAATGCAGAATTCGATGCGGATTCACTGTTCCACTCACCCAGTCATTTTGAATGTGATGCCACAGAGTACACATGCTCACTCAAAGGCATCTACCGCTGCCACTGACTAGAACCATAAAATAGGCCTTGTTCATACATGTGTATTCCAGTCCACTCTTCTTGGCTGCCAGGTTGCCAGAATGTTGTGCAAACTGTTCTCGTTATATTATCAATGGTTGGATTTTTCCAGAAAAACCTCATATTCGCAAGTGTGATTATTAGCCATGCAGTGACAATGGTAGCAGTCATGCCTCATATAAGCCTGAAAATTTTTTTTACAAAGGCATTACTACTTTAAAAAGCAAGAAAAAAAAGAAAAGTAAGCTTGAACTCAGCCAGGATCTGTGTTGGAACACATCAAAAGGGTGTTGGACAACCACACTCAGCTTTGATGAGTTTAATTTTGAGAGATGGTGTGATTGCTCAAGCCAGGGTTTTTTTGTTTTTTGTTTTTTAACTGAAATTTAGCCCAGTTACTCACTGTTAATGAACTATAGTTTCAATGAAGAATTCTCAGCCTCCAAGTGGTTATAAGAATCAGCCATATAATCAGCTTTTACTATGTTCTAGACACTTTCATGTAGTTATCTCAGGTAGTCAGGAAAGAACTTTGTCAAGCAGACAACATGATTCTGATTTTACAGACAGGGAAAACAAAGCTAAGAGAGTTTAACCTGCTTAAGTTAACCAAATTAGAAAGTAGATGACCTGGAATTCAAATGGTGGTCCATTTGATATTAAAATTCATATATTCATTAAACCATGCTGCCTCTCAAAAAACATGAAAAATGATAGCATAACTCCTAAAGAAAATATTAATAAATAATTTTATATTTCAGATTTTTAAAAAAAATTCTGCTGTATAATATAAATAATGAGATACCTACACATTACTTTTCAATTTTGTGTCCTTAGATATGTCCATTAAACTGTGTGTCCTCTTATACTCTCCAGCACAGTATAGATTACTATTGAAAAATTAAAAGGTTTTAGAAGTTGTGGTCTTCAAGTAGCTTATTCCCAGTTTAATTTACATTACCTTAGGCAATCTTCTCTTGGATTCAGAATTATCTTTGGGAACAAAATCTTTAATGAGCCGAGATCGGTCATAATTAGCGTGTTCTGATTCATCCAGGTAATCCTTATCTTTTCCTAGGGCTACAAAAAAAGAAAAAAAAAGAAAAAAAGACAATTATACCCATTTTATCTTTTTTTTTATTTTCTACCTCTTTACAGGTACTAATCTTTCCTTTTTTTCATATTTTCCCAAGGCTCAGCCAAGTGTAATTATCTTATGGCTCATACATCTAATAAGTAAGCCAAAAAAATTAATAACATGAAAAGCTTAATCCTGTTAGTGGATTAATATTGACAGTAGAATAACTTTCATAAAAATTAAATGCATCTCTTGTATTTTAATGCACTTAAACTTTTTGAAAATAAAATTAGAATTATACAAATTTTATTGGATACCACTGCTTTTGAACTTGAATGTAGAGATAGTTGTAAAAAATCATTATCAAGAGATATTGTATACAAATATAGATATTTGTAAGAATTCAATAGATTTCTAAGCACTTATTTGATTAATTAAAAACTATGTACATTTGAGAATTTGTTTTCCTAAATTTTGTAAAGTTTTATAAATGGGAATTTGACTTAAGGGTGTAAGAAGTCTGAGAAACCACAGAAGAAATCCTAACATACATTACAAGGAAGATTTTTAAAAATCATGAACCAGATATAATCAATGTAAAAGAGTATAAAATACAAAATCTCTATTGTGGCTTTAAAAACTATTGACACACTTTAAAAAATTCATATTCTCTGTGACACAAACATCTCTTCAAATTCAAAAACAGCCAGATTTTTATATATTTAACTTATTTCAAATAAATCAAAATATTATGGAGTTATTTTTTAAAACTATTAATGAACTATTAAACACAAATTCTGACATGGACAACTATATACAGTGCTTTAAAGAACTCAATCATTTGACATAGATTTATGGCAAAAGAAAAAACAATTTTTATTATAAAGCATCCATTAATATCTTTATTAGTAAAGTTTAAAATCTGTTATAATGTGTTATGCTACATAAAGCTAGTAATAATTAGGTTCTTAGTACTGGTATGAACTAAGATTAGACAAGTCATATTATGTTTTAGGATATAATTAATTACTAATTATGTTAAAGTGCTCTAAGCATTTAGGGTTATACCTAGACCTATTAATATAGCTAACACTATCAACGGCTAACATTTATCGAGTACATACTAAGGACCAGAAACTTTACATGCATTATTTTTTTCAATCCTTATAACAACTCTACAAAGTGGGTACAATTTTTGTAACAGTGGAGAATTGTAACCCAACACACCATTATTTTGACATTGTTTCTATAAGAGCTGACTCTGGCTAATATGTAGCTTGTTGATGAACAACATGCTTCTATAAGAATCCTAGTAACTAACTTCAAAATTACAGACTCCAATCTTCAGTCATTCTAGATCTAGATGTGCTGACCTTCAACAATAAAGCCAGATGATGTAAAACTAAAATGACACACACACCAGACCATCACATGACCAGTTTTGAGGTCCTTACTGGAATGGACTGCGCTGGTCTTCTCATAGAAAACTTTTCAACCCCCTTCTCTCGAGCTCATGGTTCTGCTCTCCCTCTCCCTCACAGAAACCTCTGCCTCCACTGAGATGTTAAACTGAGCTCTGAGGTATAAGCCCCCATCTTTACAGGTGACCAGATACTTAAAAAAAGATCTTTCCATTACACCAGCACCTGTCTCTCAAGCATTCGCTTTCAAAATGGCAGGCATCGGGACCTGCATTTGGTTACATTTTTTACCTACACTGAATAATAAACTAACGCATATGGGAATTGAGGAGCATGCCAAAGTCACTAAATCAGCAGGGGGTGCATCCAGACCTGAAACACATCAAGACTTGACTTCAAAGCTGATGTTTGTGAATAAACATAATGTCTTCCCTAGATTTAGGTGGATTACATTTCATTCAGTCAATAATTATTTATTAAACACCTATAACATGCCAGACATTCTTTTAAGAGTTGGAGTTCTAGCAGCAAACAGAACACTGCCATCATGAAATATTCAAGTAAGAGAAGAAAACAGTAAAATAAAAAGTAAAATATTAAGTATGTTTTGTGATCAATGTATTGGAGAAAAATTCAGTCGGGAGGAAAGATGCCAGTATGAAAGGTGAAAATGTTATTTTAGTACTGAGAATTGTAGTGAGTTCTGAGCAAAGACCAGATATGGTAAAGCATTAAGGAGCCTGATGTAGCAGAATGACAACTAATATTGGTTTTAGGAAGCCCAAGTCAAAATCCTGGTCATGTCATTTATTAGCTTAATGGCAGTGGGTCATTTATAGTTTCTTAATATGAAAATTGGAAATAATAAAATCCTTTCATTTCAAGGAGTCAGAAAGACAATATATGTGACTTGAAAACATTAGGTACTGAAGAAATACAAATTCTTTTTCTTTGCCATTTTCTTAAACTCAGAATTCTAGTATTTAGGAATCTACCAAACAAAAGTGTAAATTGAGACTAATAAAAAAGACACATCTTCCATTTTAAAGCCTTAATGGATAAGCACAATGTAATTACCTTTAGTATACCAAGGGACAACTTAAAATTTCATTTTAAATCCCTTTTACATTCATCAATAGTATGATTTATGATGAAGACTTTTGTTGAGTTGAGTGGGAATCCATTAGGTTTTCTAAATTTTGTTTGTGAACCAGCATCAGCTCAAAGCTCAAGGGTACCAATCAGTATAGCAGGCCATTATGTTTGCAACATAAAACTTAGACCTATCTCTGGAAGTGTAATTTTAATAGCCAAATTATTTCAGCTCAATCATTCTTCTTTAATATAATGCCATTTTATTTCATCACTTTGTTACATTGTATTATAACTTCTGGAGCATCTGGAAATGGATGAGGTAACTTTTGGACAATGTTAACTATTCATGAGTGATCTTATTATTGGTCTCCATTTACTTGCAATTCTGCAACCTTCCCATTGTTAATGATAGTGTATTCCAGAACTGCCGAAATCGTTGAGGCTGAATATTAAAATAATAATCATAATGGCCTAGGATTATGGTCATACTTTATTACTTACATATTATCTCCAATATATATTCTCTTACTTGCATCTAACAAGAGTTCTTAATTCAATTTTGCTCAATCTTTACTTATATTATAATTAGGAATCAAACCATATTATTGATATTGTATGTCAGGAAACTGAGGCATAGATGGCATGTAGTTAGTATTAGAGTTAGTACCTGAAACTGTATCTTTTGACTGCTAATACATTCCATGATTTAAAATTATCATTTCACCAAACTTCAAGTAAAGAATAATTCCAATGGTCCATTCATGGATTACTCCGTGGTTAAAACATGGTGATAATGAAAACCCAGGCTTATTCTTTGTAGTTCTTTTGTTGCCGACTTCTCCCTAACACTGTCATTGTTCTAAAGTCCTGACACTAGCCAGTCACAGAGGAGCTGAATTTGGTAAACCCCACCACTAAACAAATCCTGCAGATAAACTACTTCCCACTATGTCACTGTTTAAATCTATCCACATGCATCCTTCCATACATTCACCCAGTTATCATTACCCAGTTATCCTTGAGTAGACAGTAATTGCTAGGTAATGGGAATAAGAAAGATATGAAGGAAAATTACTATCACTTGGTGAACTGAGTGTAAATAAAGCCATGTCCAAAGTGCTATGCTAGCAGAAAGGAGGAAGCACCTAAATGGCTTTATAACAGCAGTGTTAAAGTAAGCATTCTCCTGCTTCTTAACAGCGACAATTACTGGGTCTTCAAATGCTCAACAAAAAGGTTTTTCCACACAATTTAAATGAAAAACAAAAGGAACATAATCAAATTAGGCCCTCAGTGAGAAAAATAACAAATTAGGTCCTCAGTGAGAATCAATAAAAAAATTATTGATTCCCAACAGGTGAGAAAAATCACAGTGATGAATAACATCATAGAGGTCAAGGCAGTGAATTCTACAGCACTCTCCAAAGATATGTGTGTCAGTATTCTTTTTGTGTTTCATCCGTTTATCTGGCCTTTCACTGATCCTAAAATATTCTTTGAGTACCTACTATATGCCAGGTACTGTTCTTGATTCTAGGCTATAGGCATTAAAGAGACTGACAAAGCCTCAATCCTCTAGACACAGAAAGAGGGAGAAAAATAAATCTTATGATTTCAGGTAATATATACAACAAATAAAAATAAATCAAGATTAAGAGATACAAAAGGAAGCTTGTATGAATCCTCTTTCTATCATTGCATAGATAAGAGGCCCTGGGATATGAGAAAGTATATTATGAACAAGGAACAAAAAAAATTTAGGATTAGCTTAGCATTCTAAGTAACAGGAAGCATTAAGAAATGGCCTAGAGAGGCCAGGCCCAGATATCTTAAAAGATCTCGAAGCCACAGTAAGGAGTTTACATTTTAAATGTAATGGGAAATACGGAGGGATTTGAGTAGAGAAATAATGAGATTTAATTTCCCTCTTACTAAAGCTTCCAACAACTGCTGTTTGGAAAACAGACTATCAGGAGGCAAGAGTTGGAGTGGAGACAAATTAGGAGTCACTGTATTACACTAGTCTGCCAAGAGAGGGAGGCAGACTGGCCCGAGGTACAGCCGTGGGGATAGCACTTGTAGCAGAAAGTGGTGACCAGGGTCAGATTCTAAATACAATTTCAGAATTGAGCCCAGGCAACTTATTTAATGTGTTTAATAAACAATTGAAAAGATTTGCAGTGACTGTAAGACGGTCACAACTGGAAAACAGCGTGTTCTTTCAGTTCAGTTCCCTTGTTTCTATAATTCTTAAATAAACTGACATTAGTAGAATGTCCTTTTTATACCACATTAATAAGAAACATTGTTGGAGAAAGTAATACAAATTAGTAGAAATTATCTAATATTACAGAACAAAAACAGAATTAACATGTATTCATTTGACCATAACTGTTTTAAGAAGACCAGTGAAAACTTCACTAATCTAGACTATTACACTTATGGAAAGCAAACAAATGTCTTAGCTGGCTAATATAAACCACTTC